GAAACTAACAATAAAATAAATAATAATAAATATCTAGTTATAGAGGAGCTATAAAAAATCTGTAAATAATATAAATTTTATACAGAGGGAGAGATCGAATGGAATGAAAAGAGGAAGAGAAATGAATGCAATAATGAAAAATAGTAATTTTCACCTTTTTTTCTAATTAACCTATTAATAACCCGGCTTGCAGAGCTCCTTAGAGTTGTGTTCGCAGAGCTCCTTAGAGTTGTGTTCGCAGAGCTCCTTAGAGTTGTGTTTGCAGAGCTTGTTAGAGCTGTGTTTGCAGAGCTCCCTAGCCATGGGCGTCCGCAGGGGGGGGGCAAGTGCCCCCCCCCTGGATTTTTCAGCTTGTTCTGATATTTCGTGTGAGATTTAGAATGAACTGCAATACCTGCGCCGGCCAGTAGGTGGCGCTGTGTATGGAGAGAGACAGGGATAGGAAGCTGCATCTTATCCCTGCTTCTCTCTGCTGATTGAAACCGCAGGGGAACAACACATGCAGCCAGAGACAGCCTACAGATCAGGTAAGTGGGGGATGGGGGGAGGGTTTGAGAGGGGGCAGCAGCCTCAGATTTAGGGTAGCGGTTTTGAACCCAGTTTTATTTAGTGTCTATAGTGTATAGGGAGCTCTGAACTACTATTGCACAAATAAATGGTTTGAGACCAAGTGCTCATAGTTGAGAAGAACTTGGGGGTGTAATAGAACTGAGCAGCAGCCAATAGAACAAAGAGGTATAGGAAACACGGCTCATTGTGTAATAGAACTAAGCAGGACCCACTGCTCATTGTGTAATAGAACTAAGCAGTATATGACCCACGGCTTATTGGGGCGGTATAGGACCCAGGCTCATTGTGTAATAGAACTATAGATTTATTGGGAACTAAGCAGTATAGGACAGCAGCCTATAGATTTGTGTAATAGATCAAGCCCACAACTTATTGTATAGGACCCACGGCTTATTGAATTTGGGGGCAGCAGCCCATAGATTTGGGGGGGAGGGGGCAGCAGCCCATAGATTTGGGGAGGGGGGCAGCAGCCTATAGATTTGGGGGCTCAAGGCTCATTGTGTAATAGAACTAAGCGGTGTAGGACCCACTGCTCATTGTGTAATAGAACTAAGCGGTGTAGGACCCACAGCTTATTGTGTAATAGAACTAATCGGTGTAGGACCCACTGCTCATTGTGTAATAGAACTAAGCGGTGTAGGACCCACGGCTTATTGTGTAATAGAACAAAGCAGTATAGGACCCACAGCTCATTGTGTAATAGAACTAAGCGGTTTGGAACCTATGAACCATTGTGTAGCAGAAGTAGACTGCAAGACAGATTCTATCATTCTTCCTCCCAATTGCCTCTTCTTTTTTCACCCCCCATACAATGCTCTGTTGCTGGTTGAGCTGCAGTGAGGGATTTTTTTATAAGAGCTGTGACTCCCTTGGATTAGATCTCCCACCCATTGATACAGACTGGAAGAAGGTATTAGTGGGATACTGCGTCGGAGAGTTAAATGCCAGGATTCTGATAAAAGGTAGAATTTGTGCATTTAATGATAGGCTTTGCTGAGTCCAGGTGATATTCTCCCTCCCAGTAAATTGTTACAGACCCAGAAACCTACAGCTTTAAGACCTTCTTGTTATTTCCAGTTTTCTAAGAAGGTGTAAAAATGAGAAGTCTTGTGTTACTGGTTTCAGTGTCATAAACTGCCTAATCTGTGCTTGCCCTGCAGGCAGGCCGCCGGCGTCTGAGAGCTTCCACAGTATCGCACGGCCATTCCACACACTGTGTACAAGGGGGCCGGCTTACACGGATAGACACAAATTTTCTACATCGACCCATTATTTTTGTTCCCATAAATACCTCGCTGCGAGAACGAGGTTTTAGCCAAGGTGGGGCTCTTCCACCATGGGGTTACTTTAAGGGACAGTCTGCACACTCACTGAAACAATGCTTTTCGGGTGTTACACTGTATCATATCAGCTCTGAGTTCTAAAGGGATTTTTCCAGCATTGCTATCTGCTTGGCAACGCTGAACAAAAATGTAGATTTTAATATACCCTCCATGTTCAGCTCACATTTTTGTTGCAGTTTCTTTGTATTTTTTTCCCCTCTGACCGTGCAGTGTGAGGTTGTGTGGGTAACTAATTGGGATCTGGATTAATTGGATCAATATGGAATCTATGGATATTTTTTTAACCCTATGGTAGTATGGGTAACATATTTCACAGGAGGAATTAATTATTGCACAACCCAGTATCGTGTATAGATTTATACGTAGGTTCTGTGAATAGCCTTTCAATGCAGAATATTCCATTGGCGGTCATATTGAGACTATGTCTGGATTTGAAAGTTGTGCCACGATATTGACAACGTGCTGTCTTTGTGTATTCTAGCACCACATGACCAAGCGGCAGACATTTGTACATTGCCCAATAGCTACAGGGTATGTGTATGGTTTAGGTGTGTGGCAACAGATAGGGCAGATCCTTGTAACTGCGGGTATAACTTAATTTACAGAGCTAGATGGTCACCAGTTTGATTGGCGTCACTGCCCAGCCGCCCACTGTGGGTGATTAACTGTAGGGTATGCTGGGTTTCTATACGGGCTGCTATTACTATCCATTGTATTGCTAATAGTGTGTAATTATTTAATTACTGCTCTATTGACGCCCCATTCCCCCCCAGCGGCCTTAAAGGACAACTGTCAACTTAAAAAAAATTAATATAATAATGTTTCAATGTTCCTGTATTCACCACTCAAGGACATTGCAGCTCTTTGCTGGGGGGTGGGGGGAAGAGGGGGAGGAAGGGCGGTATGTTGTTTCAGGTAATGAAGTCAGTGTAGTCACATGGCCTGCACCTCCAATTAGTAATCTTTCCAACTGATTCAATACTGTTGGAAAAAAATCCCAAATTATTTGGACATATTTCTAACAGTATTGAATCATTGTGAGGACAGCCGTCAACACAGTCACTAACTGCAGAGATTGCCTCCTACCTATCAGAGAGAAATTTAAGGTTCAATGAAATGATGTCCGCATGTTTACAGGACTGTTAAACAGCGCAATCATTTAGATAAACGCAAATGTAATTTTGGCTAAAATATAAGAAAATCTTAATTAAAAAATCCGGATACTCCTTCTTTGTACTTTACATCAGGGTTTACTAGAGAATGTATTGTTATGCCACGTGCCTTTCATTTTTCTAGGTTTCTGAACGTAGATTGACAGCCTGTTTCAGATGCTGGTCAGAACATTTCTTTGAAATACAAAATTGCTGTAGGCTTGAAGAGAAAAAACAACTGTTTTCTAAATAAATGTAAAAATCCTTTTTCATTTATTTCTCAACAATATGTAATAATAGATGAAGTGGTTTTCTATCTCTGTGTCTATCGACCTAAGTGTCCTCTATATTTGAGTTTGGTTAGCCCCTCCCACATATGTTGCGTAACGATGTCACTGTATCTGACCTCGTGCTGTCAGAATGCAAGTAGGATGTAATCAGATCATCACCAGATTACAGTCAATAGCCGAATCCGCAGTGTTTTAATAATATGCTTTACCTCTGACGTTTATTTAAAATCTGTTTAATTCTGTAATAATTGCAATTCCTGGCTGAATTGTGAATTTAAGGTTCTAAAGAACAAACAGACAAACACAAAACTGTTCCCAATACTGCGCAGAATGTATCAAACAATGCAAAAATCAATCAAATTGATCTTTTGTGCTTGTTAAATCGCGAAATAACAGAGGGTTGTAGTACATACATTTAGTCCTCCTTTGCTTTCCATTGAAACATTAAAGAAGCTTTGTTGGCTGAATCTATAAGTTAAATACACAATCGTGCTTTGTTAATGTAGATTGCAGCCTCCAAAATATTTGTGTAAAACTTAAATCTAAACGCTTGAAAAATCTTAAATCTTAATGCTTGAAATTCCATTCCAGAGTGCTTTTTAAGAGGGTGACCTTAAAAATTATCAGTAGAGGGTGACCTTAAAAATTATCAGTAGAGAATTGCTTGGCCACAAATAAAATGCTCCACCCAGATTCTATATATATAATTTTGTCAAGGTATAAAAACGCATACATATTTATGAATGTACAAAACACTTTAATATTAGATAAAAACAGGTGTCAATCTTACTGCCTCTCTGAAACGTCGAGACAATTGTGACCCTTGATGTGATGCTTCAGTTGTTATGGTATATATCTATAAAATAAGAATGAAGGGATTTTGGCTCCTTTTGGCACTGCAGCCTATGACAGGCTAAGCATCATGGGGAATGTAGTTCACAAATATCTGGATTACCAAGGGCAACACTCATTCGTCTAAAGGGTTTTAGAGAGTTTCAGCAGACATAGGGACAGGTCTTTTTCAGAATGTCCACACGTTAAATCCAGCCATTTAAACAAAGGTCTCTAAAGAGTAAAGACACCCTACAGTTTAGAGAAATTTGGGATAAAGTGATGGTAAGGGGAGATGATTGTGTGCTGTTTGGAGAGAGGTTGTATGAGAGAGAAACATCTTACTCTAGATGACATGACAGAGTCAGATGAGAGCCCGCTGTGGACAAAATGCATCTCCCCTGGGTGCCCGAAACTCACCACTCTTGCAAGGGAATCCAAAAAGGCATTAAATTGCTTTGATTCTGGATAAGGAGGAAACACTTTTCCCTGCACTGAAATTAAAAGTGTGGAGAGACGATGTCCACGAGCGAGTAGGCGGTATTCTTGATATAGTGACAGTGCGTAGACGAGATAATTAGAAGCCGATGACAAATATGGACCATTTGGTTCATTTACTTGCAACCCATTAATTATCTCAGCTCCATTTAATGCAATACTGAGCTCCCACCTACGGTGTAAGCACCATACTTCTGTTTGATGGACTTTTTAAAAACTCTCTTCTTTATATGTAAATATTGTATTTATTAACAGCACAAAAACAGCACAGCCAGCCCCAGCATTAATTGTTTTATAGAACGTGTGTGTGTGAAGGTTTAATAACCAAGCTTTATAAGAGGTTCTGGAGAATAAGATGGGAGTTTTATAAGAGGTTCTGGAGAATAAGATGGGAGTTTCGTAGGAGGTTCTGGAGAATATGATGGGAGTTTTATAAGAGGTTCTGGAGAATAAGATGGGCATTTCACTGGAGGTTCTGGAGAATAAGATGGGAGCTTCATAGGAGGTTCTGGAGAATAAGATGAGAGTTGTATAAGAGGTTCTGGAGAATAAGATGAGAGTTTCATAGTAGGTTCTGGAGGATAAGATGAGAGTTGTATAAGAGGTTCGGGAGAATAAGATGGGAGTTTCATAGGAGGTTCTGGAGAATAAGATGAGAGTTGTATAAGAGGTTCTGGAGAATAAGATGAGAGTTTCATAGGAGGTTCTGGAGAATAAGATGAGAGTTGTATAAGAGGTTCTGGAGAATAAGATGGGAGTTTCATAGGAGGTTCTGGAGAATAAGATGAGAGTTGTATAAGAGGTTCTGGAGAATTGGATGGGAGTTTCATAGGAGGTTCTGGAGAATAAGATGAGAGTTTCATAGGAGGTTCTGGAGAATTGGATGAGAGTTTCATAGGAGGTTCTGGAGAATAAGATGGGAGTTTCATAGGAGGTTCTGGAGAATTGGATGAGAGTTTCATAGGAGGTTCTGGAGAATAAGATGGGAGTTTCATAGGAGGTTCTGGAGAATATGATGGGAGTTTCATAGGAGGTTCTGGAGAATAAGATGAGAGTTTCATAGGAGGTTCTGGAGAATTGGATGGGAGTTTCATAGGAGGTTCTGTAGAATAAGATGGGAGTTTCATAGGAGGTTCTGGAGAATAAGATGGGAGTTTCATAGGAGGTTCTGGAGAATAAGATGGGAGTTTCATAGGAGGTTCTGGAGAATAAGATGGACGTTTGATTAGAGGTTCTGGTAAAAAAAAGATGAGGTTCTGTAAAATAAACTAGTACTGTATATAGTTCATTTTCAATTTCCAAAATGTTTGGATTTTGACTTTTTATAAGAGGCCCTGTGCAGGTAGATGGCCCTGTGCAGGTAGATGGCCCTGTGCAGGTAGATGGCCCTGTGCGGGTAGATGACTTGGACAGTGAACCCCCGATAAGTTGAGTTTGACACCGATGCTCTAAGTTCTATAAGCTTCTTTGGAAGTTATCCTTGTAAACATACCTTTCAGTGTTTTGCCGCCAAGCTGTTGTGGATATAGTGGTTGTGCAGTGTCCCTCCAAGAATGATGAAAGTAAAGACCAAATAGATGCATTTAATCAGAGTACAGTTTATTGATCGTTGTTTTACTTGCCGGGAGAAGAGGTGGAGAGAGGGGCAACATTACAATAAAAACCTCCCGTACAGATACATATTTATATTAACTTAGCCCTGAGATACAATTTGCATAACAATCCTTACTTATATAGGAATTTTTTAATCCACAAATGTGTGTTTAACTACGGTAGGTCAATTCCAGGTGTTTATTAAAATGTACCTAATATACTGTATCATTAACATTACCAGGAAATGTACTATTTAAAAGTTATTCTCGCATGAAGTTCTTTTCGCCCTCTACCAAGATGGCCGCCACAGTGGATCACAGGCGTCCATACTTCCTTGTAACTAAGTGCTTAGAGTGTGGGTTATAAAATGGCACATTGAGTATCATAGGAAACCGAAGCTGTCGGTGGCCTCTTTGTGTCCTGCCTCAGTAATACAAAAATAAACAAAATCTAGAAATACGATTTGATCTATATGTTTTCTATAAATTTGCTGCATCCTGTATAAAGGAAATATGACATGGCAGGGCAGTAAATCGTGTATATAATCCACTCACTACTCTCCAGGAGTAAAAATGTCTGTGTATTCAGACCGTGAACGCTTTATGAAGGGATTCCAATAAATCTAATTGCAAGTGAATATTTTGTCTTTGTGCCGCTTTCAATAAAATGCTTGCGGCTTCCTGGGCCTCTTTCAGAAAACATTTTTATCGCCTTTATTGAGAGATTTGAGATGAAAATGGCCACTTTGTATTTTATTGAATCCTGCCCTAAATTTCTCTGCACAATATATTTCCAGCGATTATTTACATGAAATGCGGCCTGAAAGTGTGATTGAAACAAATAATCTTTCTGGAGCTCGATTTTCCATGTTATTTTTAACCCTTTACTTGGTGCTGAGTTCTTCGATAAGCGAGAGAATATGGTCCAGTCCAATTTGTTACTTGATAATTAGTTCTTATCAACTAATCTAATTATTGCCAGTAATGTAACAACATTTAATCTAGCCAAAAATAGTGCATGCAGTTTTCATTATACACATTCTAATCCAGGAGGCAGACATTTTAGAAATGTTTCATTTTCTGTAAATTCCCTTTAAATGTTGTTTTACTTAGTTTGACTTTTCTGATTTATTAATGTATTTTTGAATGGAAGTTGTGACTCTCCACGATTTGTTTTCCTGCCCTGTCTTTCTATTTCTTCTCCTCATTTGCATAGTGTGCCCATGCTGTGCCTTGTCTCAACTGGACACTGAGCCCATTTTCTAACTCTTTAATACTGTATACATTTATAGATATAGGTGATTGTCAATGTTTTATTTAATGCTGTGAAGTGACCGTTCATGTTTAACAGGTGCAGATTACAGAAATTATTAGTGCAGGTTATTAATTTTCCTTAAAGGACTACTCCAAGCACCTTCACCACTTCTCAAGCACCTTCACCAGTGATTTGATATGGTCATGGGGCTTGAAATCTCTATGTGCAGCATTTCACTTTGATACATTGCACATACAGAGTTTAACCCATCTGTTACCAGCGGAGTAACTCCACCTCCAGCAGTGTCATTGGTTACTAGCGTTCTGGGTTTTCTAATGTCATTTCTGTATATATCTATGTGCAGAATGGCATTCATCGGCAGAGAGCTGTTAACTGACACTCTCAGCCAATGAATGGCCAGCCCAATCGACTTCCAGGCTCTACAGCTCTGCATAAGTCATCACTGGCCACAAGAGGACCCTTGGTGCCCACCAGGGGCCTGGGTGAGGGGGTAAACCATTGCAAATGGTTGTACCCCATTATCAAGGAACAGGGGCCAGGGTACAGCAGGCTGTAGTGGTTATGATTGTTATGAGAGCAGGTTCTAGTGGCTGTGATAATTATGACAGCAGGCTGTAGTGGCTGTGATAATTGTGACAGCAGGCTGTAGTGGCTGTGATTGTTATGAGAACAGGATGTAGTGGCTGTGACTGTTATGAGAGCAGGTTCTAGTGGCTGTGATAATTATGACAGCAGGCTGTAGTGGCTGTGATTGTTATGGCAGCAGGCTGTAGTGGCTGTGATTGTTATGACAGCAGGTTGTAGTGGGTGTGATAATTATGACAGCAGGCTGTAGTGGCTGTGATTGTTATAAGAACAGGTTGTAGTTGTTGTGATTGTTATGACAGCAGGCTGTAGTGGCCATGATTGTTATGAGAGCAGGCTGTAGTGGCTGTGATTGTTATGAGAACAGGATGTAGTGGCTGTGATTGTTATGAGAGCAGGTTCTAGTGGCTGTGATAATTATGACAGCAGGCTGTAGTGGCTGTGATACGTATGACATCAGATTGTAGTGGCTGTGATTGTTATGACGGCAGGTTGTAGTGGTTGTGATTGTTCTGACAGCAGGCAGTAGTGGCTATGATCGTTATGAAAGCAGGCTGTAGTGGCTGTGATTGTTATGAAAGCAGGCTGTAGTGGCTGTGATTGTTATGACAGCGGGTTGTAGTGGCTGTGATTGTTATGACAGCAGGCTGTAGTGGCTGAGATTGTTATGAAAGCAGGCTGTAGTGGCTGTGATTGTTATGACAGCAGGTTGTAGTGGCTTCCTGTGATTGTTATGAAAGCAGGCTGTAGTGGCTGTGATTGTTATGACAGCAGGTTGTAGTGGCTGTGATTGTTATGAGAACAGGATGTAGTGGCTGTGACTGTTATGAGAGCAGGTTCTAGTGGCTATGATAATTAGGACAGCGGGTTGTAGTGGCTGTGATTGTTATGAAAGCAGGCTGTAGTGGCTGTGATTGTTATGACAGCAGGCTGTAGTGGCTGTGATTGTTATGAAAGCAGGTTGTAGTGGCTGTGATTGTTATGACAGCAGGTTGTAGTGGCTGTGATTGTTATGAAAGCAGGCTGTAGTGGCTGTGATTGTTATGACAGCAGGTTGTAGTGGCTGTGATAATTATGACAGCATGTAGTAGTGGGTATGATGCTTAAGTAACCCCTTAAAGCACAATTCAATGTTTCCTACAAGATTACTGATTTCATGTCAGAACATACCTTCTTATTTAATATATCAGGAAGTAGGTACCATGAATAATAATAATTCAGCAACTATAAGATATGAACATGCCACGTGTCTCTAGAATGTAAGCTCATTGAGCAGGGCCCTCCACCTCTCTGTTCCTGTACGTCCAGTTGTCTGGTTTCAATTACGTGTCTGTTAGGCTACGGAATCTGATGGTGCTATATAAATAATAATAATAATAATGTGTTTGTAGAATTTGTTGTACATTGTTCCTTAGTTACAGTAATTTTGCAGCGTATGACGATCTAACAGAAATTGGACATTTAAAGATTTAAGGATCTTATCTAAAAGGACAGTAAGTAGCTATTCCCCATCTCTTAATTCCCAGGTCGGCTATTACAATGAGAGGGACGCACGTCCTGGCTTTTCTCCTCCTTTTCGTTGCAGCGGCTCCCCGCAGAGCTCAGTCTGCTAATATTCCACACTGATCTTTAAAACTGAATCAATTTCTGCACGATGATTTAATGCCCCTTTAATTAGCAAAAATAGCACAACGCCTGAGCTGTAGTAACTCTGAACGTATGTGCGAGGAATTGGCGTCAGCGTTTTAAATGGCAGTGGGCATTCACAGAGCATGCGCGTTTTACACAGTATTTAGTTAAGCATGTCAGACGGCTAGCTATTCGGGCATTAAAATCCGTATTACCCAGAATGCCTGGCTCAGACGAGCATTGCCGCCACGGGCTTGCAGGTCAATGGTTTGTAAGGTTTCTTGTTCCTGGACCACAGCAGGTTTCCGATGCATACAATACGTGTCTGTAAAATGAAACCGATGTCTTAATCGCTGCATTTTTTTTGTTTTATTAATGGAAATGTTAGAAAAGGCGCAGTCAGCAGCCTTTTATTAACACTTAATAAACACATCTTCATGGAATATCCTGGTAATATCTTCAGCTGGTACTGTAAAAGGCTTTTTGTTAAAGGACCACCATAGTGCCAGGAAAACATACTCGTTTTCCTGGCACTATAGTGCCCTGAGGGTGCCCCCACCCTAAGGGACCCCCTCCCGCCGGGCTCTAGGGGGAGGAAGGGGTTAAACTTACCTCTTTCTCCAGAGCCGGACGGGGAGCTCTCCTCCTCCTCGGCTGAATGCGCATGTGCGGCAAGAGCCGCGCGCGCATTCTGCCAGTCTCATAGGAAAGCATTCACAATGCTTTCCTATGGACGCTTCTCACAGTGAGAAGCACACAAGCTCCTCTGGCGGCTGTCAATGAGACAGCCACTAGAGGCTGGATTAACCCTAAAATAAACATAGCAGTTTCTCTGAAACTGCTATGTTTATAGAAAAAAGGGTTAAACCTAGCTGGACCAGGCACCCAGACCACTTAATTAAGCTGAAGTGATCTGGGTGCCTATAGTGGTCCTTTAATTTCTGTTACTCAGCGCAGTATTAATATAAAACAAACTGCCTTTCACAGTACAGCAGCAATCAGTAAAATGGCCTCCAAGCAAAAATCACACTGCAGCCTTGTGCCGGGATTAGCATGTTTTCCGGTTTTACTGAGTATGGTCGGTTGGTTGGCCTCGCCACAGGAATTAATC